GCCAAGATAGAAGAGTTTATAATAAAAATACAGTCTAGAAAAAGCACAATCAATATTATCGTAATATTTAAAAGTCTATGGCGAGAACAATGGATTAGCGCAAGCGAGCAACATGCGTTCCGCGTCGTAGTGGTAGAACGACTGGTGAACGCGGTGCGCGGAGCGCGGACGCAGGCGATCCATTTGGCAGCTGTGTTAACGGAATTTCGGGCGGCGCGTTCAACGCCCGGCTGTTGCTACGTGCATTGTGTTGAGAGTATATAGTGGTGTAATATATAGTCGTGTAAAAGTATTGTATATGTTGAGTGTGAGAGAGTATGCATGTGTGTATCTGTGTGGCATATGTGTGTGTATATATTGTAGGAAAGTAGCCTACAATGTTATGTATTATTTTTGTAGGGAACCTTTTGTCTGTTTTTGCATTGAAAAGATTTTAAAGTTACAGTTTTTACTTTTTGTATCAAAGCATAATTCGTGGTAATAGAAAAGAAATCAATAATTCAGGTACAATAGCCGTGGGGTTCTGTCCCCACGTGTGTGCGGGGCAAAGAGCTGTCAGCAGCGTGAAGGGGCCCGCAAGGGCCGACGCCTGCCGGGGCTGCGGGCTGTTCGAAAGAGATACCGCGGCTCCGGAACGTAAGGGCACTGAAGGAACACGGATGGTTTTTAGTCAGTAAAAGTCTGACACTCCCTGACGCTCCACCCAGAGCGAAAGGGGTCATTAGATGATTTTCCATCCGCAAAAAAAAAAAAAAAAAAAGGTACAATAGCCGCTAAGGCTAAGGGATTTCCTGTCGTGTAGCTAACATACAAACATATTCCTTAAATTCACTTATTTTATTCATTCATCCCCATGCCCATCAAAAGTAAAGTGCTACACATAAGCCTATTTGAAAGATTTTATAATAGGGGGTATATTTGCCATAGTTGCCATGCTGGAAAGGCGGATTGACAATCGCAATTTTTTATTATTTTGAATTGTTATCTATTAGCAAGATTCTGCTACCTTTTTCTTTCTTCATTTCCATTTTTTATTAAACTGAAGTGACACATAAACTCAAAGCCCACCTGGTGATAAGTGGCTGTTGCAGTCCATATAGACACCTGCAGCCAACTTCAAACAAAGAAGGCTACAGAAGCACTCTCACCTCTGGAGTGCTTCACAGCTTGTATTTTAACTGGCCCTCTATATTCTTCAGACAGAAACACAGCAGTGCAAGAACTGCTATTTGGCGGCAAAATAGGTAAGAGCACGGTATCTGCCCAGACTTTATCCCAGGCAAAAAAGAATTCCTACTACAAAGAAACACTTCCACTGTCACCACTAATGACACCCACGGGACGAATATCTTTCAAGCTGCCCATCTTTCATCCGATGAAATTCACTAAATAATAAATAATTATTCAGATAAATTTTTCCATTGTAATTCAATACGTTTTAATACTTAGAAGTTTAACATTGTTTTCATTAGTGATGATGCTTGTTGAAATTCGTTGGAAGCAAACAGGAACTTGAATCAAATGCCTCGGTAAAAATAATGATACCTATATTTAATAACGAAAAAGGAATCGGATTTAATTAAAAATTCCAAATGTTTCTTTACCTTCTCTTTACATGTAGAAGTGTGTTATCCAACAAAAAAATTTAATATTCCAAAACTGGTGAAATGTATAATATATTGCACTTACGAACGTCTTTGTAGCATATTTCTTGTGAATTAATTATGAATTATATTATTTGTAATATTTATTATATTAATAAATTTATTAACAATCGATGAAAGTTTAATTGATGTGAGTTGTTTTTTCTTTGCTTGGCATATCTTTCATATTATTATCGTTAAAGTCATCTGTACCGTACAATTAGTACTTTTGCCCTTAACAGATAAGTGGAAACGTTGATATCTCAAGGGATTAAATAGGACACAATAACTTGAGACATACATCACCATCTTTCTTGTTTCTTTTTTTACAATAATATTTAACACTTGCAGACATTCAATTCTCACAATCACACTATTTCAAAATACACTTCAAATTAAGGCAATATTTACAAGAGGTAAGACACGGTCGTTTAGTGGCGGTGTGAGAATATCCACTACCTCATATCATCCCATGGGCCACGCATTAGGTGACAGAGGCAAACAAATCAGGAGATGGGCAGCAGTGTGTTCCTAATAACGACTAAAATTAAGAAAACTGCGGGTTCCAACCCCACTTGGTAAGCGTAGCAACTATAGTAAATATCCTCCCTATGACGCAATCTATAGAGGTTAAGGCCTAAATTAAGTAGTTGATTTAAAAATTCTGTAACGGCGACGGTAAGACAAGATCAACAATGCGGCAGTGAAAACTTGTGATAAAATGTTATTTTTAATTTTGTTTTTGGAATTTTCACTTTAAAATAGAATAATTTTTATTCAATATAAATAACAAGTAATTCTTAGTGAGTTATTATTTTTTTACTTTTGCCACTGGTTCGGAATTAGGCTCTGACCTGGGAAAAATTAGCAAGAAACCCAGCAGGACTTCTTTAATTGTTATAGTTTGTATCTTGTTTGTTTATCTTTATTTAATATAATAAACGTGGACCCGTCGGTTAGTGATCGTGTAACTTCAGAACGACTTGACCAATTATGATCATATTCGTGGGTGGTGTGACGATGGTGCTTAAGCAGCTTTTATACGATAGAATTCAATTCAGATAAGAGTCAATTTATCACCATATTCTTTATTTATGGACCGAAATTATTCTTGCTTACATTCTGTTACAATATGTTGGTTTAGTGATAAAAAATTACAAAATCTTGATCCGATTGGTGGCGCTGTGGTAGAGAATAATTTCTCTTTAAATATCTTACAATGCAAAAAAAAATTTTTTTTGCATTGTAAGATAACACGTAAGTGAACTTCGAGCTGAATACATAAGTAAAAAACAATTTTCAACCGCATTTCAACATGTAGATAATGTAGGTATTACTGAAAAACAGTCTTTAACATCAAAAAAGGCGTCAATGTCAATTCGAAATATTAAAAAAAACCGCATCTGCAATATATGCACTGTTTGACAAAAATCTGTTTGTGGTCAATGCGTAAAAAAGTCTACAAAAAATTGTTTGTGATAAATGTCCGATGTAATCAAAGTTTTTAAGTAATTAAAACCAACATTCAAAATTCATAATTTTGTTTCAATCAAATATCCAGTATACCGTCAATTTGACGGTAGTGGTCTTTGACGGTATGGCATGTTTCCCAACCCTTCTAGTATTAAGCTAAAAAGCTAATTAATTATCCTTAAAATAGAGAGAAAAGCTGCCTCCCCCCCGCCAGGAGACGTCCAAAGAACTTTCTTCTCGATTCCGATGCTGATCATAGGTCAAAATCATCACTGCCCAAAATAAGTTGATCCCTACTCCCCGCCATCTTCCGGAGAGGGAATCCAATCCAGTAACACGATCACATACGCACACATCCAGACATAGTATAAAACACTAGAGCACACCGCGTTCACCGGTGAACGAGAGGACACAGAAACACCGTACACAAGCTTATACTCGTGATTTTCAGTTTAAGTTGCAGTTCCCTTTTTCCGATAGTTGTTCAAACCGAGGTTCGTAATTCCTTCTGAGATTTGGCAGAATTGGCGCACTGAATAGCGCATAAGTCGTCACTTAGTCTATTTTGATGATTTTGTAAAATCTCAGGGCCAACAACATACATTTTCATCAGTAAAGTGCTGCTCGAACGCGTGATATGCGCGGGTGAAACCGCAGGGCACAGCTAGTCGATTATAAATATGAAGATGTCAATATCACGGGACAGTATTATGCTACGCTACTAGAAATATAAAACGATGCCGTTGAAGAAAAAAATAAGGGTAAAGTGGTATCGAGGTGTGCTCCTTTTGGACAACGCACCGGTTCACAAGAATCATGTTGCGATGGCATCCTTACACAAGTGTGGCTTATAAACTTTAAACCCACCACCCTATAGTTCAGATTTAGCCACTTTGGGTTTTTAAGGAAAGATCTTCGAGAAAAAAAATCACATGATAAATAGATGAATTCGGCAATTTCTGCCTATTTTGAAGGCCTTGACAAAACACTGTAATAATTTATCGAAATGGACAAATAATTTAATGTTTGATTTCACCCCTTTTCCCTTTAATTGTATAAACTTTTTGATCTCCCCACGTAATGCATAATATCGTTGCATTATTGATTTTAGTGGTTAAGGATCGTGTTTTAGATTTTTAATTGCAGTAGGTCTTTGTTGAGTCGTGGGACTTGTAAAGGGCTCATAATTTTCGATTTTTACGTTTAAAACAATTACTATTTAACTTATCTTTAACGCTCACTGATAAGCAAAGAAAGGATTATTTTGTTTTTCGCGCTTACAAACCCAATTTTTCGGTTTTAGGCACTTACCTAACACGCTTACATATTGCTCGTTTATTATCTAGTTTATAAATACCACACGAATAAAGACATGCATAGTAAACAAGATATCAAAAGAATTTCACTGTCGCAGCTCATACAAGAAATAATATTAAAATATTCTCAGACAGTCTTTGCAGGGATCCTATTTACTTCGCATGTTTAATGCTATTTATTTACTACCAAAGGCAAATGCATTATTATATTGTGAAAAAAATCTTTATGAACTCGACAAGATCGTTAAAATTAAGAAAATAAAACTCTTTTTCTTCTTTCACACACACGCACATGCACACACGCTTGCACACGCGCATGCACTCGCACACGCACACGCACACTCACATGTGCATGCGCGTACGCACGCAAGCACGTGCGCATGTACGCGCGCACGCACTCACGCCCACACGCCCGTAGTCAGAATAGTCAGAATAGATTTCTAGGATCTCAAAACGTCGAGATCTGATGTAATCTCGAATTTCGAAACTGGGGTGAAACCAATAAGGTCCCGATTTTTTGAAATTATTGATTTTTTGTTTTTACAAATACTTGTGGCAACGTAATGTTATGCTATATCCAGTTAATAATCAAAGATCACAGAAAAGTAAGAAATACAGCAGAATTGGGTCATTATATTTCCCGTATTCCCATGGCAAAACTCTTACTCGCTTTACGGGGTCAAAAACAGCTTACATACATCTTGCACTGAATAAAAACTCATGATTTTCCCTTATAATGGGCATGTTAACGCTTTTGTACACATCCACAGGCCTAGTGGCATCAGCGGCCCCTGGATGACCATTACTTGAGAGAAGACAACTCACAACACTATTCAACTTCACAGGCAAGGAACGCTAGAGCACAATGTGTACTTTCCTACATGGCATTTATTTCCACCTGCGTCAAACCCTCTTAAATTCTCCTCTTAAATGCGCTATGCGGAGGCTACGCTGCCCTTCCCAAACCCAGCTGTGACTGGTTTATTCTCTGCTAACCAACTCCGCTATTGTAAGGGCCCAATATTATTATTAATAATTAAATTCAATATAAAGAGGCTTAAAAATAGTCTTTAAGTATATATATTTAACAACAAAATAACATTAATAAGCATAAAAAGTTATGGAAAGTGTTCGTGTATAAATGGCTTGTATGGAGGAGCTGCCAGAGACGCATACCTGCAGTTGTACATATAAGGTGTTCGGGTGCCCGACTGCTTGAAGTACTGTAGCCCAATGACTAGTCCTATATTAGGGACTTATGACAGTAAATTCAATTGTACAAAAGCAATACTATAGAAGGACTCTATGATGAATTTCCATTACAATAGTAGGGTCGTGGGTTGAAGTCCTATATATGAATGACTTATGAAAGTTAGGTCTATGATACAAAAGCGATTGAACATATTGTGCACACACAATTGGCTAAGTTTCTTAACCGTTACGATATCTTAAGTACTTTTCAATCTGGTTTTAGGCCTGGCCACAGTACAACTACTACTCTCAAGGTAACGGATGATATTCGGTGCGGTATAGACAAAAATTACTTAACGGTACTCGTGCTGCTAGATTTTAGTAGTGCCTTCAATTCTATTGATTTCGATATACTTCTTAGCATTCTTCATTCTATTAATGTGTCTCCTTCAGCTATTCAATGGTTTGATTCCTACCTCCGTGGTCGTTCTCAGTGTATTCGTTCAAATGAAACTTTATCTAAGTGGTGCAATCTAGCTACGGGTGTTCCTCAAGGTATTAACTGTATCTCCAAGGTGATATATTCAAACTTTTATCTCTACGCAGACGATTTACAGCTGTATCGTCATTTTCTAGTGACTGAAGCAAATTCAGCAATATGTGAAATAAATAAAGATCTAAATAAAATCTATGAGTGGTCCAGATCATATGGAATTGTTATAAATCCCAAAAAATCACAAGAAATTATTATAGGCACCAGGTTTACTCGTAGCTTACTTGATTTTACTTCACTCCCAGCACTGCAAATTAATGGCACTCCACTAAGCATTTCAGAAACTGTTAAGAATCTGGGCATCATAATGGATTGCAAATTGACATGGAATGCACATATCACAGAAGTTAGCCGGAAAATCAATTATACTTTACATTCTTTAAAATGTCTTCAAATTTTTTTGCCTTTATCAACGAAGATTTCTCTTGTCCAAACACTTATTTTCCCGATTCTTGATTATGCTTATGTCTGTTATTTGGATGCGACTGAGGAGCAATTAAACAAGCTTGAGCGCTTGCAAAACTTATGTATTCGTTACATTTTTGGGCTGAAAAGTATTGATAATAATGATGTAAAAAAAAGTATGACCACGTCTCCCCTTAACGCAAACAGCTCAACTAGTTCCCAATCCGACTTTGCAGGAATACCCGAATCCTATGCCTCCTTTTTCACATACTCTAAAATCCAACATCACCACCATATCTACGTGATCGATTCCGCTTTGCTCGTTCTCCCGATGCAGTTTGCAGATCACATTTAAAAACCCTCCTAAATTTCCCTTCCTTCAGAACTAAGTACTATTCTCATTTTTTTACAGTACATGCAGTTAGGTTATGGAATTCTCTTCCTGCTGCAATTCGTGAGGCTCAAACAGTTTCAGAGTTTAAAAGAAGAGTTAAAGAGCACTATTTTTCTTTGTCGTCCCAATGATCCAATGTATGACTTGTAAATATATGTGTATCTACTTGTATTTTATTTTATATATGTATATAGTATAGTATTTAGGTATATACATGTTTGTATGTATGGATGTATGTATATGTTTTTATTATCTTTATTTTATATTAAGTTTATTAATAACATAACTTGGACAAGGCCAACTATCACATCCAGGTACCTACCTACCTCTCTCTATCTTTTAATTATATTATTATAATACGTCTAGTAGATATACTTACTAATTACTAATTAGTAATTATAGTAGTTGACTGTTGAGTGATGAATGTTTACTGAATTTGAGCGTTTCTCTGTCAAACAGGGCCTGCGCGCCGGCACCGTTTGGGTGAACACTACAACGTTTTCGGCAACCAAGTGCCGTTCAGCGGCTACAAGCAGTCCGGCATCGGCCGCGAGAACGGACCCTACGGTATACGCAATTACACCGAAGTGAAGAGCGTCATCGTAAAGATCACCGAGAAAAACTCGTAATTTCCAGTCGAACCCACACCGAACCACCCGACCCGATCTATTCGATCGAAGCCCGTTGCTCATTATACCTCTTTGTCAATCATCCATCATATTTACGTTTTTGGTGATGATGACCATAATTATTATATCCAATAAAGAGAATGGCGCCGACCATACCTATTCTGAAAGTTTAACATTCAATTTCATCAGAGTTTATTAAGCCCGCACAAACGACATATATCACAAACACGAAATAATTAAAATAATAGTCTTCCATTTTAGAATAAGCCTAATAATATTTGTTAGAGTTAAGCTTAATGAATATGAAAACTGTACAGAAATAAATATTATATTTTATTCTTACAATTTCTATTCTTTAATTTTTAACTTTAAACCTATACGCACTTGAAGTCGAACCTTGGCGTACAGCACGTTCCTACACTATAAAATACTATAAAATCTGTGAAATGTTTTCTTCGGCAAATATTAGATAGAAAATAAATTGAATCACTTGAAAATGATGGAAAATAAATCACAATGAAAATAATATTTGCTTTATGTACCTATATAACAGAAAAATAATAAATTTTCGGTTTTTATTTGTTAATCAAAACTTCAACGCCATCTACATTATATTATTAGCTTGAAGAACGTATTATTAGTCAGGTGGAAGTGGAAGGTGGTAAAAGGTAAACAGACGATCAGGCGACACGACGACATCGATTCGAGCAGAGTAGAGTAAAGTAAGTACAATCCCAGCGGTGCGGTGCGGTGCGTGTAATTAAAAATTTGTAAATTTATTATGATGGTGCACACTAAATCTGCATCTCTTCGAATCTGTCCAGTATCAGGCCTGCTGGAAGAAATTTCACTTTGAAATAAGCAGTGCCTTTGTACAAAATTTCTTGTTATTTTTCATTGTAAAGTACTTCGTGTGTACATAAATCGTTAAATAAATAAATAAATAAAAGCAATACTATAGAAGGTTTCTATGATGAATTTGGATTACAATAGTAGGGTCGTGAGTTCAAGTCCCATATATTAATGACTTATGAAAGTTAGGTCTATGATACAAAAGCAATAATATAAAAGGTCTCTATGATGAATTTGTATTACAATAGTAGGGTCGTGGGTCATGTCCCATATATGGATGACTAATGAAAGTAAGGTCTATGATACAAAAGCAATACTATAGAAGGTCTCTATGATGAATTTGCATTACAATAGTAGAATCGTGGGCTGAAGTCCTATATATTAATGACTTATGAAAGTAAGGTCTATGATACAAAAGCATTATTATAGAAGGTCTCCTTGATGCATAAGCATTATATGGGGTGATCGGGTGAACGACTGCTCTTAGTACTGTAGCAAAATGACTAGTCCTTATTAGGGACTTAAAAAGGATTATTGTGGTGGCCTGTATGCTGCTTCACGAGCAATTGGTCCGAGGTAAACTTGGACTCGCTAACCGATGTGTCCTAGACATATCATATTAGTGCCGGTGGTAAGCGGGTTTGTTGTAGCAATACGGCTCTCCCGTGGACATCGCACACCCATGCCGTTTGAAGGCGGCGTTGTAGCGCATAGCGATGCGTAGTCTATCTTTCAGATTGGGATAAGTGTGTTTGGTAGCAGTTTTAAGTGTAACAGGCATACTCAACTTCATGCCTTAGTGCATTAGCGCTATGATACGTGGAGTTTTGTTCGCTGGCGTCTTAGTAGCGTGCTACTATGATACGTTGGTGATATTTTTTAGTTAACAATAAAAAATTTGTTACCAAAGTCTATAGGGATCATGTGGGTGTGTTTTGAGGGGGCGCCAGCCGTGTGATAGTTGCATTGATGCTTACTGCTTCTTGCGGTATTGCGTCATATCATGGATCTGCGGGTGTGCTGCGCCTGATTCAACGCATTCTTGTGGTTCTAGTCGATGGAGGTGGTGATGTTTGCTGGGATGTATGGGGGACCTTGGGATGGAAGCCTGACGATAGTCGTATTTATGCTTGTTGCGTTCTGCAGCATTGCGTCTCTGGGATGGTGGTTTGGTGGGGCACTATTCTCAATGGCGCTCTCTGCGTCTTGGTTTGACTCAAACCTGAGTAGCTTTTACCAAGTCGGGTTCCTTCATTACGGGGCTGCAGACTGTCTGCCCTCCATGATGTTTTATATAACAACATAATAATATATCTCTGTAACTTTCCCACCTTTGAATGATTGAAGGCGACTTGTTGGTGCGTGAGACAAACATGATCGATAATGGATTTACTCAACGTCAGTGATACAAAATCTTTCTGATGCGCGATAATGCGATGATTTAAATATAGCTGCGAAAACAGGGCAGGGCTCGAGAAAGGTTAAGAATATAAAACTTCCCTATTCCACTTGTATGATTTCAATTTTCAAAAATTTTACTTTACTTTAAATTACTTTAACCCACATTTCAATTATGGATCCAAAAAGAAAATAAATACGAAACCATTTTAAAAACTTTTTTGTTTTAGTTTTAAACTTAAATTCTTCTATTATAGCCTAAATATAAGAAAGAATTTTATATTTTTTTATTTGAATATAATAAACAGGTATAGACGATATATTAAGTTTTTCAGATGACAACTAAAATCACCATGACAGGCGTTACTTTGCGGAAATCCATCATATTAAAGATATTAAAAATTAATTAACTAAGACCCGCCAAATAAAATAAAATGATGTGTCGTACCTAGTTTTAAGAGCTCTGCCCGACCTTCCCCAATTGTATGCACTACCCAGTCACCACTAATCTCGGCACCAGTACTCCCAACGACACTAACCTAGCCCAGCGACAGGCGACGGGCGTTATAATTTCCAAATATTTAGTACAGCAATCGTAAATCCATCTTCCAAGCGTGAGGATCAAGACGTTATCTAGTATTATATAGAAATTTGAAGAGAGATTCATTCCCATCTTAAACATATGTCACAGAATAACGCTTTACGATGTATTTATAGAGTTAAGATGTTTATTTTAGATTTACTTTGTAAATGCTTATTTCGAGAAGGCATATGGAAAATAAAACAAACATATGGGGAATGGAAGATTGTGTTTTATTAGGTTATTCGTTCGCTAACACAAATATGAGGCGCTGGTTGTTCAGCCGTTCTTACGGCCAAACTTTAAGTAATTATATTAATAAAAACCTTTTAAGAAAAAATTAAACCGCCGAAAAAATTGAAAAGCAAATAATAATAAACATTTTTCTTTTACCTTAACAACTAAGTTCTTAAACTAATGTAAATGTACCTAAGTATATATGTTTGTAATAACTTTGAGTTTTTAATAACCTTAATAACTAAGTTCTTAAACTAGTAATGTAAGTATACCTAAGTAATTTTGAGTCGGCGCCAAACAAGCAAATTAATTAACTACATAAAGTGATGCGTGGCACGACAAGCCCCTTCGCCGGAAAATGCCGAGCTTTCACGAAGTTATAGTCAGCGAGACAGCAACCCCAACGGGTACACACGTGAGGGCACACGATGTTGCGAGCGTGCGTGCGTGAGGCTTATTTTTGGAATGTTAATGTTATCGCTTAAGATTTCACGTTGCATTATTATTTCTTTAAATTTAAGGTAATTTATTGATTTTGTTCATTGATTGCTTGGCGCCGACTCAAAATTGCTTAGGCATACTTATATTAGTTTAAGAACTTAGTTATTAAGGTTAATCAAAAACTCAAAGTAATTACAAAAATATATACTTAGGTACGTTTACATTAGTTTAAGAACTTAGAGTTTCTTCGGCGGTAAAATTTTTTTGTTAAAAAAATTATTTTATAATTTTTGTTGCTGTAATCTATTAATTACTACATGCTTAATTTTGGATTTCTTATAAATTAGCTACTTATTTTACTTTAGCTATTAACTGATATATAATCCTACATTAACTATTATTTGCTTAAAGCTATTATCGACCTCGGAAAGAAAGTGTATGCCAAAGGGCGGGCGTGGGCGGAAGTGGCACTGAGTAGAGTAAAAATACTTGAGGGTATTGCTTTATCTGATCTAGAGCCAAATAAGGTATAACACAAACATCACGATGAACGAGCTTTTTCAGAAATGCAGAGACTGAAAGGTCTACACAGAAGAGACTGACAGGTCTAAAGCTCATTCATCGTGAGTTTTTTGGTAATATAATGTAATTATTATGTAATGTTGTAATACATAACTCAGCGTTAAAATCTGTGAGGAAACAATAAATAACCCCTATTTTCCCACCCTTAGGGTAAATTTTTTCCAAATTTATATGGGATCAATTTAGAGGTATACCCTATCCAACAAAAAAAGAATTATCAAAATCGGACTACTCTTTAATAAATCACCATTATTTTCCCACCCTTAGGGTAAAATTTTTTCCAAACTTATATAATACCAATTTCGAGGTAACACCCTATCCAATATGAAAAGAATTATCAAAATCGGACTACTCTTTAATAAATAACCTCTTTTTTCCACCCTTAGTGTAAGATTTTTGTTCTAAATTTATATGGTACCAATTTCGAGGTATACCCTATTCAATAAAAAAGAATTATAAAAATCGGACTACTCTGTAAAAAGTTATGTGTGGTCATACATAAAAAATATACGCATCGACTTGAGTACCTCTTCCGTTTTTTCATCGGTTGAAAAGTGTAACACTATAACGTTTTCTTTGCACCACAGTAATAGGACAGGTATTTTTTATACATAAGTAAAATATTATACTCAAAAGTATTTTTATTTTCAATAGAGAACGAGGATCGAGGAACTTTGTTGGTTTGTGTTTCCGTTTGTCTTTTGTATAAAATAGTAAACAAATTTAAACTATATTTCTTATCTACATCAGATAGTAGAATCGGGAAACGAATTACTTTTTAAAAATTTGTCTATTTAAATCTGATCGTAAATTCCGTTCTGTTTTCAAATAAATTGTATTAAGAGAATGTAAATATACACCACATACTTTTTTCACCTGTAATATTTATTTATTTATCAATTATACAAAT